TGGAGGCGGAGGAGCGGCACCGCCATGTCGGCCTCTGCGCTTGGGAATTTTTGTTCTGCGGTGAACGGTTGGCGGGCTCTGGCCTGGACGGGCTAATGGCGCTCCCTCGCTCTCCCGCCGGCAGCTCTGCCTGCCAGGGCGCCCAGGGCCAAAGGGTTTCGGCTCAGTCGCAGCGGCTGGGGGCGCGGGCGACACAGCCGTTTTCGGCGATAATCCGCTGGTTAGACTTGTGTTTCACTTGTAGGAAATTTTCCAGCTTTCAATCTGTTTAGGAAGAGAAATATCCTAAACGTGGTGGCTGTGGCCTGTTATAGTTAAGGCTTTATAGAAGGAATAACTGGCTGGGTTATGATGTGAGGGCACTGTTATATCATCTCTGTAACTAATTTTATAGTTTCTTAAGTGGGATTTGGCTTCATAGAATACGCTGATAGCAGTTTCCTTCAGTTGGCTGTGACTTGAAGACGCCGTTTTTCAGTCTCATCATCGCTGTATGGGCTCAGCTGCAATCCCCACAGCCCTCTCTGACAGGGAGCAGTTATGAAACGCAAGTGCTGCTCTGAAGGATGCTAAAAGAAAAAGGTTAATCTGCCTCAGCTGTCAAGTTTTTTGTTTAATAATTTATGATCTGTAATAGGAGTTAGTCATACAAGTAGGCGAGCTGGGGGGGCTCACGCGCACCGATACCTTCTCAGTAGGTGCGGTAAGCAGAACCAGCTTCCGTGGCAGGTCTGTAATCCGCTCCTCAGTGCGCGTGTTGTGCAGCTCGGCTGAACGTTGATGGTGGGCAGACTGTCGAAGGGCTACCGGCCCTGTTCAAAGCCTATAAAAATAAATCCCTGGCCTATGCAACGCTCCTAGAATAGCTCTGTAATAAGAGCGTGGTAAAGCATGTGGTACCGAGTTCATTGTGACGCCTTCTAGTGTGTTCTGGTGAAGTCAGGTGACAGGGTTTGCCGAGTTTCACGCCGAAGTCTTGAAACGCAGTGCTTACTTTGAAAACTGGCATTGTATTTGAGGGACGGGGCCCTTGCTGGTCTGATCAATTTAGTTCTAACCTGATGAGGTGTTCAAGACAAGCTCGTAGGGTCAGTAAAATAAAGCTTTGTTTTCCGTGAGTTCGTAGCCTGCTGGGATGCGGTGCTGTCAGTGCTTTTCTGGCACTGCAGTCTCAACTGGCACATCTGGGTCGGCAGAACCGACTCGGGTGGTGCTCAGCACTGACATGCTTATGTAAACAAACCCTTTTCCAGTACTTACTCATAGGTCTGCCTGGAAGAGACGAAGCCCCTAAACGAACTTTGAGGCAATGCTTTCAACATCAGCCCTGTCTCCTAAACTTCTCTAGCGCGCCGTAAGAAGCCCGTCTGTGTGTGTTAGGGGAGAAGGGCGTTGAACGAGAGGGATGCGAATCGGAAACTTGCCAAAGGCCGGCGTTTCCTGTTCTCCTGTGAAAACTCAGGATGGTGGCAAGGGGGAAGTTCAGCAACAAAGAAACTTCAGCCATCGGAGAACATAGGCTTGGTTGACTGACTCTCTTTTTGTCTTAAAAGCCTCTGTTTTTCAGGAAGATGTTAGAGGTGGTGCATTTTGTTTCTGGTCTGGCTTTTTGCCCCATGTTCGCTGTAGAGCTGCGCTGTCGTGTTTTTCCCATTTTCTGCTTTACTTTTTGTTTGATGTCTTTTGCTCAAGAGGATGAGCTGCTCACACCAGGGTTTGAAAAGGCTGATGGCTCCTTTTTTAGCCACGCAGTTCAGGTCCCACAGACGTGGAACTTGGCACTGCCAGGACCCCTGTAAAGGTTAAAAGCAAAAAATGTCTTTAAATGAGTTAGGTAACTGCTGCCTTCCTGGTAGATCCTTCTGGTGAGGTAAGCAGACTTCATTAGCTGTGTCAAATTCCTGCAGAGAGCTAAAATTACAACTTTTGTGTGGTTGTCACTAGGAAGAAGAGCGTGGTACATCTTGATTTCCGCCTCCCCGCAATCATTTGTTAGTCACTTGGTTGTTGCTTCGATAACTCAAGAGGGGATGTTGTAAATGTATGAATGGCCTTGCCGGCTGGGGTTAAAGCTTCTGTGGCTCAGCAGCAGCTCTCCAAGAGTGCTCAGTGCCACCTAGTCCACAGAAGAACATAAGGTCAGGACACGCATGCCGTGATCTTGCCCAGAAAACTATCCCGCGTGTCAGCAGCGTGTGGTTAAAAAGCCTTCTGAGCTGCGGATGAACGCATCGAGTTGCTTTCTGAATCCATCTGGATTCTTGGCACCCCCTCCATCCTTTGGCAAGGAGTTCTGCAGCTTAACTATATTTGATATGAACTGTTGCCTTAAGGATTTGGTTACCTTAAGTATATTATCAGCTGGTTTTGTCTGACACCCCGAGTCCTTGTATTGAAATTCCTTCATTTGTCTTACGCAGTTTTTTGAGCCTTAGTTGTTCTTGGTGGTCAAGACTGAGTGACCATGGCCCATATCCTTTTCAGCTGCACTGAGGCATAACGCAGTATTTGGTGTTGGGATTGCCTGCCGTGCAGTGATTCGTCAGCCCTGGAGCTTGCGTAAATGTCTCCTTTGATGCACCATGAATACATATTTATGTAAGCTATTTATTGTTGGCCCTCTGTTCTTAAAAACTATCTCCTTTTGCTTAGTATTGGCAAAACATGCCCTCTCAGATGCCTCTTCTGTTGGCTCAACAGCGAGCACCCAGTGATTCAGCATTAGATGTTGGAAGTGTTTAGCGGAAAGGATTGTGTTTGAGAACACCCAGTCGGTGTGGGCATGATCATAAAGCACACGAAGAAGAACAACAGCTGAAGAGTGATCTTTGTAACACATGGAAGCTGTGGCCTTGGCTATCATGGTATTACATGCTACTAATGTAATTACTACAAGGGGCCTACAAGGAAGCTGGGAGGGGACTTTTTACAAGGGGCTGTAGTGACAGGACAAGGGGTAGCAGGTTTAAATTGAATGTGGGGAGGTTTAGATTGGATATCAGGAAGAAATTCTTCACGGAGAGGGTGGGGAGGCACTGGGACAGGTTGCCCAGAGAAGCTGTGGATGCCCCATCCCTGGAAGTGTCCAAGGCCAGGCCGGATGAGGCTTTGAGCAACCTGGTCTAGTGGAAGGTGTCCCTGCCCATGGCAGGGGGGTTGGAAATAGATGGGCTTTAAGGTCCCTTCCAACCCTAACCATTCTATGATTCTGTGGTTATATCATGAGAAATAGTTTAGTTCTGTGTTCAGTAGGGGCAAGGAAACTTTGCCTTTTCTGTGTATCTGTGTTTTGCATTGTATTGTCTAGCTGTGCTTTCATCTAATAAACAGCACTGGTCCTCACCGACGTTGCTCCTAAACCCTTTGGGGGATTTCTGTCTTTCCTTGGTAGAACTGTTAATTCAGATGCCCAGTGGATCCTCCAAAGATTGTGTCTTTGAGATGTCTTGGCCTTACAGAGCAGCTAGGCAATGTTATATTCTAAATCTGTTGTTATGCTCTTTGCTCCTCAGTGTTTTTACCAGAAAGATGTTGGGTGTTACAGAACTTTGAACTTTTTATAGGAGAGATGGGAAAGCATGGGGGTAGGTGGGTCTAGATTTTGGCATTTCTGGCTTAAGTAGCTCCCAGCTGCTTGTGTTCCTCTGCCCTCCCTGCTGCTGTGCCAGCATACCTGTTGGAGCAGCTGCTTGATGATCCAGGCTGTGGATCCACAGCTCAAGAAGGAAAAAAATAAATAGATGGTTAGTTTTCTGTTGAATGATTTCTGTGGCCCCTTCATGTGGAGTGCACGCAGTCATGCTGACTGATGCAATGCAAAGGATGATGGCAGGGATGGAAAATGGTGTGAAGGGGCTGCTTAAGCAGCTTGTGAGTGGATATGAAACCTTAGTCACAGACCAGTATGAGGCCCTCCTGATGTCAGTGGCAATTCTTTCCTGCCTAAACGTCTTTCTGTTACTTCAGATGACAAGAACAATTCAAAAACTACAGCAGTCAGTGCAAATCAATATATATTTTCACCAAAGTAGTAATGGCTTCTGTGCAAAAAATAAAAGAGGCCTTGCCCAAATACAGGAAAGTAGCAAAACAAGAATTTTGAATGGAAGGTATTTTAGAAATGGTCTAATAGAAGAAATTGTACATCATACATCAAATTGCTAAAGGGACAAGAACAGATGAGTGTGAAGTAGAGGTCAGTGTTGAAAGACTGGAGGTACAAATGGCAGTTTTTGCCAAATGAGTATCTTCAAATTATTAATTGAGCATCCATATTTTACAGTATATGCATAAAATAGGCATTTTATTTTACACAACTGCACTATCCAGCTGTCTTCATCCTCATAATTTTAGGATAATTATAGGCACATATAGAGAAGTGCAGTATTGTTGCTATTAATGTGATAGCAGGCGTGTTTTTGAGACTGAGCTGCTTCAGCACTGTTTCACAGTGAGTGTCAACACGTTGCAGTTAGACCAGTCGTACAGACTAGATTGTGGCAGTGCAAGTGCTAGTCTGTCTGTGCGACTTCATGATCAAACACGGCAGTTGGAAGAAAGTCCTGTGGCTCTTGCCTAACTTTCAGCGTTTGTTTGTCCTTAGTGGAACCCTTGTTTTGACAAAAAAAATATTCCCCAAACAAAAACCCCCGTTTCATTTCCCAAAGTGGAATGATTTTGGTACAGACTACTTTTATGTGCAAGAGAAAGACATTGATTAGGCTCAAACGCATCTCCAGGAAAGGTATCCAAGATGGGAGCTGAACTCCTACAGTTGCTGTCAGTATTGGAGAGAGAATGTATGGAAATGTCTATTCCAGTGATTGATATGTTCACTTGGTAGCAGTAATCGGTGGGTGGGGGAATTACCTGCAAAGGTATTCTGCAGAGACAGCTCATAATTGTATATTTAATTTACAGTATTGCTCACTGTATTTCAGGAGATGGAAGATAAGGTGATCAGCCCAGAGAAAGTTGAAGAAGCAAAATTGAAAGCAAGATACCCTCATCTGGGCCAGAAGCCAGGAGGCTCAGACTTCTTGAGGAAGAGGCTTCAAAAAGGAGTGAGTTCTTTATTGTCCACAGGGTATGGGCAAGAAATTCCAGAATTCCTGTATCTCTGACTTTTTTCCACCCTATGGGCCTTTGCATGAGTAAGAGTGCTAAAAAATTTAAACTTTGTCTGTGAAAGCACAAGGAAGTTTGTTTCCACAAAACAAATGCCAAATTGGCAGGATAGCTGTTTACAGCGTCAGTGGCTCAACTGCACTTCTTAGAACAAATTAAACTTAGAAGCTGGCTCAGTGCTGCTGTGGTGGGCTTCATAAAAAACATTATAGCAAGCACGAACGGTTAAAACATCATCCCCGTTTTGTACTGATCTTATCTTGCCCATTCTTATGTCCCCAAAATCCTCTCTCACTATCCATGTTTGTAGCACGTGAAAGCTTAGCGTCTGCTGTGTTACACCAGGCACCATCTGACATCAGTGGCTTGAGAATGGCGCTGTAATTCAGAATATACACCCCAAACAAAAAATAATGATAGAATAATGAAGAGTGAGTATTTCAATATTGTTCCACATTTAACCAGTGTCTCTTATTTTCTTAGCTCTTCATCTGTTAATTTTTTCAGTTTAATTATTCATAAAGTGATTATGTAATGCCTTTCAGGCGTGCTAGAGCTCTGTCCTTGGAGTAATCCTGCTATATCGCTGCTTCTGTTGGTGCTTTCATTGCTGTCACTCTTCTTTTTTTTTACTATTGTCTAGGCCCTTTGAGTGCACGCAATGGTTCCAAGTCTAAATCCTTCGCAAACCAGCTGTTGGAGTTCAGTGCTGATCTAATTCTGTGCTATCTGGTAACATCTCCTGGGAATTGTTACTCTTGGCAGGTTTTTTGGATAAGCTCTCTCTCGTAAGTTGGAGCATACGCAGCACAGTTAATGGCAGCTGGGAATGGGCAGGTGGCAGATCAGGTGACTCCGTGTTTGGGTTGTGCTGTCAGGTGGTCAGAGGCAGCCTACATGAGTCTTCAGTGAGTTCAGTGTATGTGTAGGCACAGAAAGGAGAAGGTAAGTGTGTGTTGCGATGGTAATTTGGTAAACGGACCACCATCCACTCCCTAAGGATTGGTGGCCATAAAGGACTTTTAACTGCTTGCACTCGGTGCAAATGTGAGGAAAACGCGCCACCAACAGTAACATCTTCATCTTGATTACAGCACTATTTAATGCAAAAGTTGTTGCAGCTTCTGTTTCCCAACTTGAGCAGAGGTAGACCTGTGGGCATCTTAATTGACTTAAGTGTTTGGGGTTTTGCTGAGAGGTGGCATAAAGTTGAGGGTTCCAGTTTGTAATCTGTTGCTGTGGTGGTAATAACTTTCTTCCATTTTATTTTTTAATTATTCTTGCGCAGTGGCTTAAGTGAGGAAGCATCTTTACTTGATGTAGATGCCTGGTGTGCTTCGGGCTGCCTGGATTGCTGAAGTTTAAGATAGAGTGAGGGTGGTGAGTGTGCTCTCAGATAGTGTTTGCGACATGAAGACACGTGGGACAGAGAGTCAGTTTGAAAGGGATGATGATATACAGGCCATCTGTGAGCAGCTGGAGTAAACCAGGGGAATTATAGGAATAAGTTAAAGGAAGAAACAGGGTGATACTCTAATGCTTGAAAGGTGGTAGGTTTTCTCAGATATTCTTCTAAACCTAGTTGCTGTAGCCCAGATTTCCTTTGATTTGGCAACTAGGACACGCTCCACCCACTGATATTTGCTCTCCAGAAATGTTCTGCATTGGATGCACACACCATTAGCACACTTTCTGCAGAATAAGAGTAGGTGAGAACCACGCTACACCACGCTGCTGCAGAGGGATTCTCTTTTGAAGTCCTTACTTGGACAAAAATAGGTATCTCTTAACAGCGGTAACACCTCAAAAGATTGAGCAGTTCTGCTAGCACCTAGATGCTTTTCAGAAGTTTCATTTGGGTGCTTGAAGGGCAAAGGATGAAAGCCTTTTTCCAAATCAGGTGGTTATCGCCTGAGTTCTGGCCTGCAGATGCAGTGCTAGAACGTTGCGGTGTAAATAAGGATTACACCGCCAAAAGGATTGAATCGGGAAGGTTCACAAATAAAAGTGTGTGGTTCAAATGTACTGCTGACTGCGTGGGGAAAACAGATTTGGTAACTTTAAGGCTGTGGCATGGAACACTTAAAGCTGCCTTCAGTAGGCCTGGCATAAACAACCTTCCTCTTGTCCGTCGCTGAGCGTTTCACAGCTGGTTAGCCCTAACGCAGAGTAAGGAGTACGGCAGTCATGTGCTGCCTGGAAGCACTTGAATGTAGCCGGTAGTGATGTCTGTCCATCAGCTGACTGAGGAGTAAGCCTCTGTAGAGCCAACGAGGGGGTGTTCTCTTCGGAGATGATTGTGACTGTTAGCAGCTGTTGCTAGTGTAAATCCTTTTACTGAATCACATATTTTTGGCCTCATAACAATCTGTTCAAAATCATGGTTTACAAATACCTTTAACAGTAGACCATGTGGTAAAAGGTATGATCAAAATACATTTCCTGCGAAACGTGTCAATGAGCAGTTGAATACTCAATGCAGACCTTGGATGAAATTGTCTCGTCTTCCCGTGATGCAGATAAGTTATAATAGTCTTTTGGCTTCAACATCCATAGAAAACTTAGTATTTTGAGAAATCTGACAACAAAAGTACTATTAAAGGTAATGTTATGTCATGCTTTAACCCCAGTCAGTAACCAAGTGTCACACAGCCGCTCGATCTCCCTCCCCACCCTGGTGGGATGGGGGAGAGAATAAGACAAATGAAAGTGAGAAACCTTGTGGCTTGAGACAAGAACAGTTTAATGATTGAAATGAAATAATAAATTGTAATGGAAAAGAAAACAACAAAAACCCAAACAAAATCTAGGAAAAACAAGTGATGCAACCACTCACCACCCACTGACCGATACCCAGTCAGTCCCCGAGCAGGGTCTCTGCCCCCTGGCCAACTCACCCCAGGTGTATACAGCATGGGGTGTATATATATACACACAGGTGTATACATGTATGACAGCATGTGGTGTGGAATATCTCTTTGGTCAGCTGGGGTCAGCTGTCCCGGCTGTGTCCCCTCCCAACCCCTTGTGCATCTCCTCCCTGGCAGAGCCTGAGAAGCTGAGAAGTCCTTGACTTAGAATAAGCACTGCTTAGCAACAACCAAAACATCGGTGTGCTATCAGCATTATTCTCATGCTAAATCCAAAACACAGCACTACAGCAGCTACTAGGAGGAAAACTAACTACCCCAGCCAGACCCAGGACTTGCTAATACAAAATGGCTGAAATATTGAGGGTCGCTGTTTCAGAAATTCAAACAATGTTCTCACTTCTGTGTTCAGAAGAAACCTGGAGCGTGGGCTAGGAATTTCCTGCACACAGTGCTTTTCAGAAGGACTGCCCAGTAGATTTGACTTGGCTCAGTAATTGGTTTGGGAACTTTAGGGATTACAGTTGCACTGTTTTTGTGGATGCAGAGAAGAGGTTTTCTCGTTAGCATGTGGTTTCATGCTCCTTGGATCTTCTGGTAGGATAGAACAGGCTCTGCTCTCCACCTTTGGTTCATGCATTGTTGATTATTCTGTGTAGCAGAACTTCGCTGCAACAAAATTCGCAAAGGTTTCACCTGTGGGAGACAGAGCTCTGGGGAAAACCAGGGCAGAAATACTGTTCACGTAGGCTGTGAGTTCAGGGGTATGGGTAGAACCTTAACGGTGTCCTTGCGGGTGAAGAGTTTAGCTATGTGTGCTTAATAGTCTTGATAGGATTTGAGGTTTTTTTTAACTGACATAGAACTGTCTTGCCAAATCAGAAGGATCTTATAACTGGTTTTAACGTTTAAAGAAGCCACTTGACCGTGTCATTCGGTGTATGCACCTGATAAGATTTCAGGCTTATAAATACATGTGTGTTTTGTCTTCTAGCAAAAATACTTTGATTCTGGTGATTACAACATGGCTAAAGCAAAGATGAAGAACAAGCAACTGCCTACTGCTGCTCCTGACAAGACAGAAGTCACTGGTGACCATATTCCAACTCCACAGGATCTTCCACAGCGGAAACCATCTCTTGTTGCTAGCAAGCTGGCTGGCTGACGAGAACAGCTGAACTGCATGATTATTCTCATTCCTGTTATTTCTCCTAAATAGTTATTTCTCACCCTCACATCCCCCTTTTTCTTTCTTACACTAAGTCATGAGACTGACAGCTTTGCAGGTAGCGATAGCATGTGCTGCTATTGTAAGGGAGTACTGTTAAGAATAAAATGTGTAGTATTTGGACTAGTTGAGAACAATGCACTGATTAAAAAGGACAAGTTTGGTTAGAGCAATGTAATCTACTTGAAAATGTACATATTGCCCATTTCCTAGTGTAGGACTGGTTCCAGCAAGTGACATCGCAAGTTTTACAACTTCTAATGTTTCTGCTTTTGTTATTTCATCTTAATTACAGCATATTTGTATTTAATATAACCTCCAGTTGTGTTGGGTTTTTCTTCTGTGTTTGGGTTTGTTGTCTAAAATAGAGGTTTAGACCACAAGTTGCTCGATGGTGAAGCATGTATACAAAAAAGACAGGGCTCCGATCGACTTTTGTTTCTGCTTTTGAACTTGAACGGCCTTAAACCTGTTTCAGCTTTAACAATAGAGTTTTTACTTGGGCAATATTTGCCCATTCTGGTGTAACTCTTGTGAACCTAGTGCTTATTGACAACTGCCTGTTGAAGCTGGTATTACTTTCCGTTCCGTAGCTTAGGACACACTTTTGTTGAAGATGTGAATGAAGTGTGCATGTGCATAGACTGTTGAATTCACTCTTGTGCCATTTTTGTAAATACGATAGTTTTGCACAACCTTTTGCAAACGTCTATTAGTTTTACATTTTAAAAAGCAGATAATGTGCCAATCGAAGCACAAGTGATTCTGTATCTTTCAAAGTCTTGTCCTGAAACTAAGAGCCCAGAATCTTGCTACTGAAAGTAGGAATTGTGTACCTGAAATTTGTGAAACACTTATACATACACTTGCCTCAGCCTTATGCTTCTGCGGTCGTATATTTTGTTTGGCAACAACGTCCGGCAGTCGAATACAAATCTGGAATTTGTACCTATATTTGGGGGCAAGTGCCCTTTCTGTGCAGCGGTTCTTTAAGCTTTTAAAGCTGAAATGCTCTGTCTGATGACACGGGAGATGGCTGAAGGTGCTGTTCCAGAGTGTTTCCTTTGTGGTGAGCTCCAAATCCAGGCTAAGGTTTGATATGCCGTTGTCTTTGGGCTATTTTAGACTTCTGAAGGCAGAAGGATGTAAGTTGGTTTTTTTTGGTTTGGTTTTTTTTTCCTTCAGACTCCTGCAGTGGTAGTAAACTCTATCTTTTTCTCTTCGTTATACAGCAGCCCCTCATTGGCATTGGGAAAACAAAGAACTGGCAGTGGTGTATTTATGTAACGACCTGTTGAGAAACAGGTAACTTGTCATGTGGGGAAATAGGAATGAACTTGAGTTCATCTTTATTTATCACGCAGGTCCTACGTACTGGATTGCCAGAATACCTAGGTGCTGCTAGGTAACTTGGTGCGTTTACGAGCATGTTTATTCAGTGAAACCAGGATATTAAAAGCGCAGTATGATTCATAATGTAAATGATTCTCATATAGGTAATTGCAGCCTTGATGTTCTTTGGGAGAAACTCTTGGAAAAGATCAGTTTACTGAGTACTTTTTATTTAAAGAAACAGTTCTGAAACAGCCTATTAGAATCAAAGCACCAACGGTGGGTGTTACAAGAGAAAACACTCTTAAAGATGCGAGTTTTTAGAAGGATGTGCTTAGTGTTGACCTGTTCAGCAAAGTCTCACGGGATAAAGGACTGCTAGTCAAAAAGAACACTGGCCCGTGTTCTCTGCGATGCACTTTGGAAGGCAGGCATCAGATCAAGAGAAAATGAATCATCTTAATGTGGTCCTGTTACCGCCAGAACATGAGGAAGGTGTATCGGTGTCCCTATAATGTCTTTTGGGTTTTCAAGTTGCCAACCTGATTCTTTTCTAGTTTGTACAGCCCTATTCTGGCAGTTGGGCGGGCTCCGTCCAGCCTGCCCTTACTCCCTACCCTGCACTAGTGGTATTGGTATAAAGAACTTGTGATTTTTGCAGAACGGGTTGAAGAACCAGACCTACTTGACTTCTTTGAGTAAAAAATCAGGCTGGGAGAATGACAAGGAAACTGGATATATCGAAGCAAACTGCTTTTTATAGATGTTTGTCCTAATGTGAAAATCCCTCTTTATTTTTGTATGTATAAATGAAGCTGAATGATAGGACTGGGCCTGTAACCAATTTTGAACAGTTGAAGGTGACTTGCTCTGTATTGTCTGGTGCCGCTATCCTGTAGCTCACAGGTGGTGAGCTTTCTTGGTGTTTGGGAAGGCCATTGAAATTCCAACATTCCACTGGGCTACAGCTGGGCTTGTCCTGCTGGTTGGACAGCACAGGCTCTCCCGCTGCTCACCTCGTGACTTGAGTTGTTAAGGTGGCTGCAGACTGAGCTCTGAATATGTTACCCAGGCGGATGTTTGAAGTACTGTACCGCGGCCTGGGTCGGTGAGGGGTGGTGAGCCTCCGCGCCGTCCCGACCTCAGCAGCGGGCACAGCTGTGGTGGTGCCCAGCCCTGGACAGAACTTAATCCCTGAGCAGTAGATCAAACGTGACTGCAAATCGACGCTTAGTTTCAGCTTCCTCCAGCAAGGTGACTCAGCTACCCAAACTTATGTACATAATGTATTATATATATGAGTTTTACCATTTGATAATTACCTTTTTCAAAGAAAACTTGTCCACGCTGTAGTCTGGCAGCCCCTTTCATATCTTGCCTTTAAAGATAGACGGTGTTTGGTTATTAGAGTAGGATCACGTAGGCTTATAATAGCAGATAGCACCAAATTTTATTCAAGGTAGATTCAAGTGGATGAATTACACCTTCACGGATACGTCCCCAAATCTGTAGCACCAAAGGCTTCCCTCTCATTGTTCTTGATGTAGTAGGACAGCATTTGTGTCAAGGCCACCGGAGTACATTTTGTTGGACATATTTACACCCGGTCGAGATGTTGAGGTGATAAAAATGTCGATTGTTCTTTACAAACTTACACATTGTATAGTATACAGAATAAATTGATCTACTTAGTTTTTATTGCAACGTGGAGATTTGTCTCGTCTTTCCTGTGCTTTCCTAAAAAAGGTACTGCCTGTTTCGGAATTCTCGATGGAAAATTTCTAAAACCTAAACCTTGCTACTCTGTATCATTGAAACTATGACTGGGCTTCGGTTTCTAGTATGTTAGACTGCAGAATTACTTTAATGTAATCACATTTATATATATTTCAGTGCTTATTTTTCTAATAAGGCAATTAAAGCTTATTGTTTGAAAACTCCGTAACAGGTGGTTATTTTGGTCCCTTGCACTGAGGGAGGAGGATTTCTGGGCATTAGGTTGGCATACAGAAGTTTGCATCGCTGTAGACTACTGGCCTGAATATGGCCACACCTCCCAGAAGTCGGGATGCTGGGAAGAGTCCAACTCGTTTCGGACTCGAGCTGTAACTTCGGTGCCGATCTTTGCGCCACTTCAGGATTCACGTGGTGTGTTCAGACGGTCACCCGAAGCTCTCTATGGGGAGTGGCATCAGTCTTCGGGCAAAGACAAACCGTGTAAATCCAGGCCCGTTGCCCCAGCCTGTTTCTTGGCAGAGCCGAGGCAGGTACGGGCGCAGAGACCTGCCCTCGGGGGAGCGCCACGTGCCGTGCCGGCGCTCGCAGGATGTGGCCGCGTTACTCAGCGGAGAGGCAAGTTTGCAATAACTGGGAAGAAAGATAAATGGGGCTTTGTGTTTTAACTTGAAGCGCTTTGAGTTGCACTGAATGTGTGCTGTGATGATTCCCACTTCAGTACAAAGGGAGCCACCTTTTTGATTCACGCCTGGGTTTTTTTTATCCCCATTCCTAGATCCTATAGATCCAGAGTAGCTTGAAATCTGAGACCTTCTGTGCGTATTCGAAGAATTTATTCCCGTTAAATATTTATCTTGAAAACGTTTCTGGAGTATGAACACACCTTGAGCACCACCCATGTGCTTGGAAAAGGTGTGCTTCAGGGGCAGATGGCGGAATGGTGCCCGCCCTCCTCGGGCAGAACGTCTTTGTTACCGTGAGGCTGCTGCGTGATGCAGGCTGGGGATAAACACTCTTGTGCATTTACGGAGGCACAGAATTCTGTTTACACTGCTTTGGAAAATGCTGGCAAAGCCTCCGTGGATTTAAATGGATGTTTATTTGATTTTTGGTCTAAAACGGGAAGATGAAGTTGTTTGGGGTTTTTTTCTGCCTTTGTCTAATTGTATTAACAGATTTCAGTTGGTCTTAGTTATCTTACTGAGATAACTATCTTACACTGCAGAACAGCGTTGCAGCTCTTAGTAGAAGAGGAATATGGTTGGATAACCTGTCCGCTTCCCTTGACAATATTACGGAATCATCAAATAACTGATTAACATTCCCGGTCCTGGGAGCCTCCACAGAGCGGGTTCAGGCTCTGCTGGTGCTGCTGTCTGTGCTAGGATGGTGGGGTGGTTTCCCTGCTGGGTCTGGGGAAAAGAACCGTAAGAGCCTTCCTTGAGAAGCAGGATCTGGATTTTTTTTTTTTTTTTTTAAGCACGTGGCATTTTCTAGGGGTGGAATTACACGGTGGAAATCACAAGGATGCTGAAATGAAAGAATGGGAGCTGTGGATTTTTCTGAACTTCAGGTTTGTGTTCAGGTGATGGGTTTTATACTGTTGGGGAAGAAAAATGACTAACACACTGAAAAGAATACACGTATGTGGTGTTCTGGAGATGAAGAGAAATCTTCCTAGCGTAGACACGGGTGGATCGAAGCAAGCTTTCTGCGTGGGAACTTCACGGTGTAGGTTTTGTCTTGTCTTTTCTGTCAGCCCAAAAATCCTGGAAGTAAATCCCCAGTGTTGCTGGGAGAACACGGGCGTGGTACATAGTTTTACCTCCCTGCCTCTCTCTTGCGTTCCATTTCAGAGTGTGTAACTTGGGGCTGAAACCAGCCCGCTTTGTTTTCTACAGCTAACAGTTCCGGGCCTGTCCTTGCAGTGTGAGAAAAGCGGGAAGGGCAGGAGAAGGATTTTAGCCTGTGAATTCCTCAGTTGGCTTTGTCTTTCCAGTGCAAGGGACTTGGCGTTAACTGATGGTCAGCGCTGAATATACGGATGCTCTGATGGAGTGCGGAGGCCCATCCGCTGTGCCACGTGAACGTCCCCAGTTCCTGATGCTGCCGGTATGGGTTATTCCTGTAGCGCTAACCATTTCCCTGTTTCTGTTTGGCCGACAGAACCCGCTGTTAACTTGCGGTACAGCGTGACAGCAGTAGAGTAGGAGGTCCTGACTGAGAAGGGAATTTTCCTGCCGCAGTGGAACAGCTCACGGATGTAAACAGAACGTGGATGTAAGCACAAAGCTGGGACAGATGCTTTCTAGTCGCTTCTCAAAAGAATTACACAAACTAATCTCAGTGCGTAGAAGGATTATTTTCTATCTTTTTTTGTTGTTTTGTTCAAATTCAGTACAAACTTCTGCATGTGGACTGTGTCAGTGACGTCAGTCGTCCACTGTCGGCTGGAATACCCTGGGATATGGGCTCTGAAATCAAAGGCCAAACCCGATCTTTTTGAAAAGATGCTGCGCCAGGCAGGAGGTGAGGGCATTTAAAATCTTGCCAGCAAACGTTTGATGCAGGAGGCATGTGTTAAAGTAGTAATCAAGTAGTCCGTCTCTATACATTCCAAACAGGTTGTTCCTGGGCAACTTTCAGTGCCCCCGATTCCCGTCCTCAGTGACAGCTTTGAAATCCTGGTTTATGCAAATTGTGTCAAATCATAGCATATTTTGGACTCCAATATCTATTTTTTGCTGGGGCTTATAATTGCGTTTGGCTCCTG